TCTTGGTTGTTGAAGCCCTAAGACTGGCAAGAGCGGCTTTCAAATCTTCAATACTTATCTTGCTGGATCTGTCCTCTGCTTTTGACACGAGTAACCACCAGATCCTCCTGTCAACCCTATTGGGAAAGGGCATTTCAGGAACCGCACACCAGTGGTTTGAGTCTTACATCTCAGATAGGTACCTAAATTCATTACTTCAGACTTATGTGCCTCTAGAAGCTTGAGTTCTGCAAGTGAACATCGCTTTATTGTGCCATCCCAAAGAGGTACAAAATCACTTTCACGGACTTTTAAATTAAATGTTCCCTCCCGGTGGAATGACCTGCCCAACTCAAAAAAAACACATATCTTCCATCTTTATTTGACCCTCTAACTCTAGCAATCTCTATTCTTATTCTATTCTTTAATAAAAAAAATAAAAATAAAACTTTTAGACTTGCACACTATTCATTTACTAACTGCTTGTTTTCTTAAAAAAAACTAACACTAGCTTCTCTATTATTTTTCTATTCTATTCTATCTATTCCTTTTCTTTTTATTTATTATACAACTAACAAAAGCAAAAAAGACCTCTAACACTAGTTTGCTCTATTCTATCTCTTTTCTTTTTATTTATTATATAATAAAAAAAAAAAACCTTGCTACGTGTACTACGTTAAGCTAACTGAGACTTGTTATAGCACTTGCGTATAATTGCTCTTTTGTTGATTTTGATTGCTTCCATTGTCATCATAAGTCGCTTTGGATAAAAGCGTCTGCTAAATGAATAAATGTAAACGTAAATAAGCCTAATTAACCATGCAGGGTTCTATAACATGCATTTACGCTGCACTTACAAAACAACATTTTGACTTGAATTCAGATTGAAGTCACTTGAATCCTTTTATTTTATCAACGTGGAACACTCCGATTTTTATTCTTTTATGTTTAGCCTATTGGTTCTGGGCCTCTTGGCTTGACGTCAGACATTCTACAAAACCTCAGTGACAGGTGTATTGAAGTAAATGACCAGAGGGAGGGAGCAGAGGACAATAAAACTGTTGAATGAGATATGACATGAGCGGGTCTCTGTGATTCTGTTATAAAGTTTATAGTTAGTGTTTAAAAGTCTATCTATCCAGCCATCCATCTATCTGATGAACTCTAAATCCCAGATGGCGTCGCGGGGGCGTGTCGTCACGTGACCTGAGCAAGGTGTTTTCACGCTAACATGAGCGCTTGACATGAGCGCGCGGAGAGCAGAGGTCAGAGCTCAGATTGCAGGCGGACCGAGGAGAGAGACACGCTCAGTTCATCTACAGGAGGATGGAGGTGGAGAACCGACCCAACGGATTTGACTTCTCCAAACGGGACAAATTACTGAGCGCCGGTGAGTTTCTGATTCCCGTGCACAGTTATGCAGTCTCCGATGAAAATTGAGTTACAGTTCTGAATCTTGTATTATGCATGAGGGCATAATTCAGGCAAAGTGTATTGTTTTGCTTTCTTGTTTCTCAAATTATCCTTTCCAGATTTGTTTTAAATAATATAGCCTACTTTTAGAGCTTTCTCAATGGAACATTGTGCAATGTTAATGCAATTTGTAATTTGTTACCCGTGTATGGAGTAAATATGTGTGTAATGTAATGAATGGACGTATAGAGCTGGAGTTTGGGGACAGTGAGGTCGTTTAAAGCGCTGCTGAGGAATGTTTTTTTATATGCACGTCCTTGCAATGTTAATGCAATTTGTAATTTGTTACCCGTGTATGGAGTAAATATGTGTGTAAATGTAATAAATGGACGTATAGAGCTGGAGTTTGGGGACAGTGAGGTCTTTTAAAGCGCTGCTGAGGAATGTTTTTTTATATGCACGTCCTCGAGGAATCGTAAAAGATGAACTTTTGAACTTGAGCGAATCACCCTCGAGCGCCACAAAAACACGTCGATGACAACAAACAAGCAGCTGAAGCATTTGTAATCAGTGAAGATAAATCAATAGAGAAAAAATAACAAATTATATGTACAAAAATATGTATTTATTCATGAATTTACACTAGTTTGTTTAGAATATTAATAATTATAATATATTAAATATAAACGTTTTTTTAACTGGAAAAAATAGAAGTTGAATATCTTTGCTCTATTTCCTACTAAAGCCCATCTATGTTATTATGGGATGTGATGGCCCTAAGATCGTTCACTCCTAAAGGTTCTTTATCTTCATCTCTGATTTTTACCTTTAACATCAATGGAACTCTTCGCATCTATAAAAGGTTCTTTATAGTGAAAACAGGTTAAAATGTTCTTCACACTAATACAATTGGTGTTCACTGAAAGGTTCTTTTTGGAACAAAAATGGTTCTTCTATATCATCACTGTGAAAACCTCCTTTTGGAACCTTTTTTTTAAGAGTGTTGGAATAACACTGCAATTTACAATATAAAGACGTCACTGCATATTCAGGATTGGCATCCTGGATTGACAGGATTCAGCAAATGTGATCATTTATGTGACTCGGTAAAATGCAAAATAATGTGATATTAGCACAGAAAGTGTATGCTATGTCTCTATGTATCAAAACGTCCATGCTATGTAATTAACCAGTAGTTTCTGCTCCGGTAGAGTGGGCTCATGTCTTGACCCTCTGGATAGAGGTGTGTCAGATGGACGGGTAATAAGAGAATGATTTACCATTGCTGTCTGAAGAGAATGAACGATTATTGTTGGCGTAAATTATTCATGAATAATATTACACTACATCTATGGTGTAAGAGCTAGTATACCTAGTTTTATTTTTTTGCAACATGAAAATGTGAATCTGTTCGAGTCAGTCACAGGTTGAAGTATTTTATTATTTTTTTAATCTTAAATTTTACATTTTAAAATTTAGATGTTAAAACATGAAGTACATTAAGGAAACACACATACACTCTAAGATGACCAGCTTGTTTTTAGCGCACACAAAGGTTGCCAGAATTTCCAAATTTTACAGCTGTGTTTCCAGCATCTGTTTGGCACATATATGCACACACACATTCAGCAACTGTGGACAACACAAACACACACAAACCCAACATGACGGGTTTCATTTTTACAGAACCTGAAAGTCAATAATTCAACAGTTACATTAAGTCCAGCTGATGAGTGTTGCTCTAGAAACACTGGATTGGTCACTGCACATACCAGAATACAACTGTATAGTCAACAGCCTTGACCTTTCACTTCTGAGTGACCTTTCTACTCTCACTGACCTTACGGAACGGAAAACGAGAGAAGAAGGAGATGCCAATGTGTATTGCTTTATATGCGTTTTATATACATATTCACTATAAAAAGTATATGTTTTTTTAGTTATGTATATAAATTAGACTTTAAATGTCAAACTAAAAAAAAACAAAGGGTCAAATTTCCTCCACTACTAATACAATTACTGTAGGTGAAAGGGAGTTTGTGTGTGTGTGTGTGTGTGTGTGTGTGATTTGAGATTTTATCTTTAAGGTTGGTAGCCCTTCCCCCACAAATAAACAAACACGTCATAAACACATAAAAGATAAACTTTCTGTCCTCCCACCCTCACAGGGATCATAACCCCCCCTGCCCCTGGCCATTCCATGACCCCTTGTTTTGACCCTCTTGTTGCCATAGAAACCTTGACGGACATGTTGAACAGGTAGATTCATTCTGCCCCATGAGAGTTTTGGTTTTCCATTCATTTTGCTGTATAAACTGCATTTTTAAAGCATTGCATTTTGAAGGGATAGTCCAGGGAAGAATGAGAATTCTTTGAAATCTTAAGTCATTCCAAACCTGTATGACTTTCTTTCTTCTTGGGAAGACTTATTTTGAAGAATGTTTGTAAATAAACAGCTTTGGTTTCCATTGACTTCCATTGTGTGGACGAAAATACAGTGGATGTCAGTGGGAACTGAAAGGGTTTAGTTAACGACATTCTTCAAAATATCTTCTTTTGTGTTCAGCATAGGAAATTAAGTCATACAGGTTATGATCGACATGATACTGAGTAAATGATGACAGAATTTTCATTTTTTTGCTGGACTTTTCCTTTAAAGGTGTTGGATCTGTGTTTTCGATAATTTTTATAGATAACATAGCAAACATCTTTAAAAAAAAAATGCTTAACATGTCAGCTTAACATTTTCTCTTATTTTCTCATATTTGAACCAAATCTCATTTTGAATCAATTCTAAAACAACATGCAATAAAATGCTTCCATGCAGAAATTAAATATGATTCTATTGTAAATAAGCAACTAGATTTTTATAGTAGAAGCTGAAGAAAATACAAGTACAGTAGCTGATTCTGTGCAATAGCATGCAAATAGTTCTTAATAAATTAGGGATATGCCGGTATCAGATTTTCATGTTGCGATTAATTGCTAATGTATAATTATTCACGGTATTTAGAAGTGCCCACGATAACAATATCATGCATATTCATTACCGTGATATATCGCATTACCGAATACCGGCACAAGTGTATAATAAATAGATGCAAAAATAGATGTATAGAGTTAATGATACATGTAATCTGTGACATGATCTTTTCTGAGTGCAGAAATCTTAACTGTTTTTTACCCATTTATTGCTGAAAAATATGTCACATTAAGTTATTAGGTTGTTTGTTAAAACAAGACATTTCATGTGATTAAAACGCTCTTAAAAAGTTATTGGCACATGTTTTAATAGGAAATACTTATAGTTTTTCTGCTTCAAAATTTCTCATTGGAATCAGTGTGTTACTTGCTGTTTCTCTAATTATTTGTGATATTTACTAGCAGTTACTGAGTGCAAATTGTTTCCTAGCTTTTTTTTTTTTCAAGTAAATCCTAATCCACATTCTTCAGTGTACATAAATCTTACATTTAGGCCTGCATTTGTGTAGAGTGTAGATGACATGCGCGCACACACACACACACACACATTGTGATGAGCAGAGGTTCAGGGGGGTCGGCTGGGATCTCATGTCCTTGGATCTGAATGATGAAGCTATGGAAAATAAATGGATATTCAGGTTACATATCACTACTACATCTGTACAGCTCCCCTCCCGATCCCTCTTTCCTTCCATCAGCCAAGTGGAACTGAAGACATCTGGGCAGCCTCATCCCTCTCTTCTGCAGGCGGGGGGTGGGGTGTTGGTATGTGTGAGTGTGCTTTTGTATGCATTTGTCCCTATACCTGTGAGTATACATGCCATGTGACTGTGTGTGTGTGTGTTTGTCCTATGTGAATACAGATCATGCTGTTTTTTTAGCTTTAAACCTATTCCATTGCTTCTCGTGGACTCCAATTAATGATGTAAATTGACAGAGTGATATATCATGATATAATGAGCCAATATTTTTTATTTTTTATTTGTTTGTTTGTTTTGTTTTGAAACAATCTGCATCTGCCCAGAATGATTTCCGCTTTACAGATTCATAAAAGTCCATGTAAATTATGTATATGTGAATATTGATATATTTATATATTAATAATAAAGCATTTCATTTCCCATAATTAAATTGTAATTCACATTTTAGATAAAATACTCATTTATTAATAATAGTATCAGTATATATTTTTTATTTATTAAAAACATACATTTGCTATCATTAAATTGACATTTAAATTATAAAATGCATGTTTATTAATATCAATATATTTAACGTTATTTATAAAACATTTTTATTTTTCTGTTATTAAATTGATATTTAATTGTATATAAATACCAATTTTTTAAAATATTAATATTGATATGTTTATATTTCCATTTGATATAATTAAATTGACATTTAAATAGTACATCAAATACACATTTTTTTATATTAATATATTTATTGTTAATAAAAAAAACATTTCCATTTGCCATCATTAAATTGTCATGTAAATTGTATATAAAATGTACATTTATTAATATTAGTATCAATAAATTAATTTTTTAATAAAAAACATTTCCATTTGATATCATTAAACTGTCATTTAAATTGTATATAAAATGCACTTCTAGTGTTATTAATATCAATGTATTAAATTTTTTAAAAACATTTTCATTTACTATCATTAAATTATTATTTACATTTTGTATCAAATACATTTATTGAGCTTAATGTCAATGTGTATTTATTATTTATAGAAAACATTCATTTGCCATCATTATATTAATATCCCTAAATTGTCATTTTATAAATATTTTCAGTGACCACAAAGTATTTGCAAACTTTAAAGGCACAAAATGCTTGAATTCCATTGCTTTAGATTGAAAATATCATACAAAGTATAGCATTTATTTTGAAAAAAAAACAACTTTTTTCTTGTTTGAATAAAAACATTTCACAAAAAGTTTACAAAACAGATATACTGATATTCCTATTATAATTTATCAATTCTGGTTGTCCAAACTTTAGCGCAACATGTGAACGCCACTTGGTTTGATATTGTTGCTGTTAAATGGAATGATATTCAAACATTTTAATATCAAAACATCTTAAGTGTCCAAACCCTTTTTAGAGCCTCTGTATGTGTACATATAACTGAAAAACTCAGTTTGGTGAACCACTAAAAGCAGTATTAGCCACACTATATTGAGCAGAACTAACCCTAGATATTTTAACCTGTTTAAAATTGTCCAAAAGTGAAATACTTCAATGGTCAGAGGAGGTTCAGTGGGATGGAGTGAGAAAATGTGTGTGGCACAGAAGGCAGACGGTGAGTATTCATTACTGTAGCTCAATCCCAACGGCCTGCAGCCATCTCAGATATTAGATTATCTTCAAGGAGCCTGCGGTTGGTGGAGTGCGTGTGTGTTCTGCTCCACCATATGCCGTGGATAGCTGGAGCGTGTGTGTGGAGCCCTGCGTGTGGCAGATCAAAAATCCGCAGCTGTCAGCGAGCCGAAGAGATCACACTCATATACACACACACACATGTGCCGCTTTCTGAAGAGGTCGCTGAGGTCACGTCCTGAGGGACAGAAGTGAGAGGACTGGGCAGATGGGTGTGTGTGTGTGTGTGTGTGTATAAGAAGATAGATAGAGGAAGTGTTGTTTTAAGAAAGAGAAGAGGCTTTGTTTTAAAGCGCTCTTGATGTTCTGTGTGGTTCGATGAACTGCTGTGCAACGTTTAAGTGTGTCCATTATAAGAACATTTTAATGTTCCTTTCAGCTTGAAATAGATGATGATAATGGCTGAAATGCCAGCAAACTTATTTATTGAAGGAATTTAAAGGGATGGTTCACCCAAAAATGAAAAATGTACTCATCCTTGTGTCACTCAAAATTGTTAAATCTACTTATAATTGAACTCAATTTACCCTTCAGAAAAACAAGCTAGGAAAAGCAGCTAACTACAATTAAGGTATTTAAGTATAAATAATTTAGCAGCAATTATTTGGCACAAATCAACGAGGAACTCAACGACAGTTTTAGTATTAAACGAATTTACAAAAAAAAACAAAAAACTGGTTAACAAAAACTGAAACTATTAAAAATATTTGGTTAATTATAATAAAGCTGAAATAAAGTAAAATATATAAACTTGTAAAAACAGAAAAATATGTATATATGTATGCATGTATGTATGTATATATATATATATATATATATATATAAATATACTGTATGTATATATATATATATATATACATATACAGTGTGTATATATATATATATATATATAGTAGTATTTCAAAAGTAGTATTAATTCCTAAATAAACCCTAATTATTTTACAAACTTGGTTAAATTGGCAGGCAAATAATGCCACAATATCCAAATAGTCCTAAAACAAGTTCCATTTTATCTATGCAAAATTTAATTTCTTATTTTTTATTTTGATTATGCAGTGAAATGTGAAAATAGAACTCTAATGGTCATTATTAATCAGCTATCTGAAATCATTTCTATATATCGGTAAATTACTAGAAAACATGTTCTTGTCAAAGTACAAAAGAGCTGCTGTGATTTGAACAGACGCTTAGTTCCTTACTGCATCAGAGCTGTATATTTTTGAAAACTTGTCAAACTCTGCAGAAGACACATTTTTCAGATGGTTCTGCTGGGCACTCATCGTGAAGATCGGCTGAAAACAATAAAACAAACAAGAACAGAAAAAAGAGAGCCATGTTAATTATCAAATGGTAGGCAACTTGAGATGTGCACGCTTCCCATAGGATAGACAAAAATATCAGATCTCTTAGACAGCACTGAACAAATAGAGACATTTATTTATGTCTCCTGCTTCTCAGATGTTTCTCCTGAGAAAAGACCCCTGTAATTTCACACGTCTTTTCTAGAGTTTCAGAAGAGATCTCAACAATGTCTCAATCTGTGCTCTGTTTTGCCTAGATACTAAAGTCTGAAATCAAAAGTCAGTGATCCAGTGATGTTATTGTAACTAAAACTAAAACTATATAAAAAATAATTGCTGGTAATTGAAATAAAGCTGAAATAATATAAAATATTAATATTAGATAAAAATTAAATGAAATAAATAAATGTAAGTTACTGTACTAAAATAACTAAAACTGAAATAAAATATTAAAGATAAATAGAAAACACTCCAAATAAAACTGACATAACAATTACTAAACTAAAATTATAATAAAAAATAATAAATTATAATAATGAATAAAATAAAATTTAAATAATAAATAGAAAAACAATAAGTAATAAAATAATTACTAATATAAACATAATATAAAATGCATAATATAAAAATGACAAAAATTGTAACTAAAATAAAAATTTATACAAATCAATAACTAATAAAAATGACAAAACACATAATAAAATTACTAAAACAAACTAAAAGTAAAATGAAAACTGAAAACTTAAAAAAAATCAAAGCTTATTAAAAATATTATATTAAACAGTATATGAATAATATGAACTCAAAAATATCTTTCCACGTTCATTTTATAGATTTATAATCTTACTGGATGACTCGTTTGCGTATATTTTGATTTCTGCAAATGTCTTTTTAGGAGAAACACCTGAGACAGAGTAGAAAGCAATAAAATGTTTCTTGGTTTATATTGAAAGTAGGAACTGGCAGACATCTGAAATGAGCATGCAGATGAGCAGAACAGTGCTGTGCACCTGAAGTCCTCCCAGCGTGAGCGTGACGGACACGTCCAGCGGAGTGTTGACCACTCCTGCCACAGATTTGATCAGAGACATGAAGAGCAGCGGGAACCAAACGATGCAGATCAGGAGCATCACGATCATGCCACCCATTCCATACTTCACAACCTTCTTCTTCTTCTGCCCGCGCGTGTATGTATGTGTATATATATATATATATATATATATATATATATATACTTAAAACAACCCTTAGAAAATTGTTTAAGTTAAATTACTAATATGACTAAAACTGAAAAAAATAAAGCTAAATAAAAAACTTTAAAAAGCAAAGACTAATAAAAATAACAAAATTATTAAATCTAAAAATGAATACTGAACATATAGAAATAAAATCCAATTCAAAATATTAAAAAAATATTATTATGATATATAAATGATACTAAAGTAACACAACAAATAAACCTAGAAAAGTACTAATTTATATAAGTCAAAACCCACAATGACTAGCATTTAGCTAATGATTTCACTTTAACAAAGATGCAAACATTATCTGAAAAAAAAAATTGGTTAATCTCTTTGATTTGTTTTGAGTTTAATTACAGGAACTGTCTGAACAAAACGATTCACTAAAATTAATTTTTTGCAGTTTGAAAAATCTGCAGGCACAATAGATGTGGAAATAAAAATCATATAGAGACTAGTTGTTGAAAAGGACATGAATCTCATTCATCAGTTTGCAAAAATACAATCACACATTCTTATTTTTCTTTTAGAAATGTTTGAATTTCTGTTGTATAAATACCAACTTCCTAATGTCCCCTCATATTCTCTCACTCTTTCTCTTATCTGCAGGTTTTTATGAAGAGAACTCCCTTCAGGACGGCACAGGTGAGGAAACTGTGCATGATCTCCATGCTGACACCTACTGGCTATATTGGCTAATTTCTGTGCTTTGTGTCTCAAACATTTTTTTAAATCATAAAGAATAGTGAACATTGTGTGGGTTTTTTTTTAATATCGTGTTTTTATTTTATTAATATTTTTAGAAGAGGGTTGAGAATTTGAGTCTATTGTGACATTCTGGAATGAAACTCAAATGTAGAGGGAATTAAAAACTAGCATCCAGAGTAAAATGAGACTGCAGTACTCATCTTCACCAGTAGAGCATGACACGGAGCTCTTTTCTTCCTCATTCTCCAAAGCTCTGGTGAAAGTGCACCTTTTAGGGGTCAGAATAAGTTCAGGAGCTTCTGATCTTATGTTGCCAACAAATCCTTCTGTGATACATGCATGCATGCTGTTGTAAAGCTGTACAAGTCAGGGTCGAACATTGTTAGAGAAAGCACTTGATTTATGTGAGAAACCAATTAAGCCGTAAAGCGACGGAAGAGCGTTCCAGAAGTGTGCACACACACACACACACACACACACACACACACACACTGGTGACATCACCTTCACTCTCTGGCAGTGGAGTCAAAGTTAGGTCAACAATCAGGCACAATATGCAAACAAGCAGGGATTCTAGGCATCTGATTGGCTAAAAGTATTTTGGTGATTTTTTTTTTACATTTTTTATAAAGAGTACTATTATACTTAAAGGAATAGTTCACACAAAAAAATCATCCTCAGGCCACTCTAGATGAGTTTGTTTCTTCATCAGAACAGATTTGGGGAAATTTAACAGTATGTAACTTGCTTACCAGTGGATCCGATGCATCCTATGCAGTGAATGGGTGCCGTCAGAATGAGAGTTCAAACAGCTGATAAAAACATCACAATAATCCACAAGTAACCCACACCACTCCAGCTTCCTCCAGTGAAAAAGTCCATCCTCTCACATCAAAGTCAACAAGCATATTTGTTTAGAACAGTTTTAAAACCGTTTTTGCTTGTAAACAGTTCTTGATTTGTGCAAATTTCTCTCCTGAGAAGTTTTCTTCAAATTTCTCTTCAATAGAGTAAGCAATATTATGGATAGTGGACTCGTTTTAGATGAAAGCAATGGTTTGAATTTGAAAATGTCTTAATGTTGGATTTGTTTGTTACAAACATGCAAGCGTTCCAGAAGTGTGCACACACACACACACACACACACACACACACACACACTGGTGACATCACCTTCACTCTCTGGCAGTGGAGTCAAAGTTAGGTCAACAATCAGGCACAATATGCAAACAAGCAGGGATTCTAGGCATCTGATTGGCTAAAAGTATTTTGGTGATTTTTTTTTTACATTTTTTATAAAGAGTACTATAATACTTAAAGGAATAGTTCACACAAAAAAATCATCCTCAGGCCACCCTAGATGAGTTTGTTTCTTCATCAGAACAGATTTGGGGAAATTTAACAGTATGTAACTTGCTTACCAGTGGATCCGATGAATCCTATGCAGTGAATGGGGGCCGTCAGAATGAGAGTTCAAACAGCTGATAAAAACATCACAATAATCCACAAGTAACCCACACCACTCCAGCTTCCTCCAGTGAAAAAGTCCATCCTCTCACATCAAAGTCAACAAGCATATTTGTTTAGAACAGTTTTAAAACCGTTTTTGCTTGTAAACAGTTCTTGATTTGTGCAAATTTCTCTCCTGAGAAGTTTTCTTCAAATTTCTCTTCAATAGAGTAAGCAATATTATGGATAGTGGACTCGTTTTAGATGAAAGCAATGGTTTGAATTTGAAAATGTCTTAATGTTGGATTTGTTTGTTACAAACATGCATCTTTTCACTTCATAAAATGTTAATTGATGTACCAGAGTCATGTGGATTATTTGTGGATTATTGTGATGTTTTTAGGGCTGTCGCGATTCGTCGATTTTATTCAACTATTCGAGTTTTTTTTTAAATCCTCGACTTCATTTTGCTTGCGTCGACTAACCGGCAAAATACCGGAAGTGGCGCATTTCACGGACGAGAATCCATAAAACACATCATTAGACCGTTTCCCAAGACTGCATGATATATTAAACCCATTTAATAATCATAATTAAGCATAATTGTGAATTCACAAACGCTACGATTTAATTAATATATAAATAATTATATGCGATGCAGTTTTAATACAGTATATGCGCTTTAATTATTTACATGCGTGTAGGTTAAGTACATGCGTCACACAGCGGCTCCGTTCACAGTAGTTCCACAGGAACTGTTATCATTTACATGTGTGGAGCGGCTCAAACCTATTGTTCACTTACATCTATTTTTATTACCACAAAAAATTAATTATAATTATAGGGCCCTATGAAATCCGTTTTATTTCCAAATTTTTTTTTTTCCATTTACATTTTTCTATACTCTGTTTTAATGGTTAAATTAAATTTTATTAATCAAAAAGCCTGTCTAATTAATTTAGTTTTATAGTTTTATCTTTACCAAATTTTGACTTTACCATTATTTTCTGGATTCCATTTTAATGGTTCCATTAAATTTTAATAATCAAAAGCATCTCCAATTAATTTATTTTATTGAAAAAAAAAAAACGTTTTTTTTTTTCTTTTCCTTTTTTCAGAAGTACTGCACATTTACATTTTTCTCCTAAATACATTCTGGTAAATAACATTTCTGGTAAAATGTAGTTTATTTTACCTGTATTATTAGTAGACTAGAACACGTGGATATGTTGTCATTCTTACACTATAATACTGAACTTTGATTTCAGTGATTTGGACTATGAGATGGACACTTGCTTCTTGCACTTTATGTTGCACTTTACTTTTGCTTTAAAAAAAGGATTTCATAGAAATTTGGATTTCATTTGGTTTAATAAAATATAGTTTAATAAAATATTCTTAAGTAAAATTGTAGATTTTTTTGGTGGGAAATTAATCGTTTAGATTAATCGACAAATTAGTCGATAGATTAATCGAAATAAAAATAGTCGTTAGTGGCAGCCCTAGATGTTTTCATCAGCTGTTTGGACTCTCAATCTGACGGCACCCATTCACTGCAGTGCACTGGTGAGCAAATGATGTAATGCTGAATTTCTCCAAATCTGTTCAGATGAAGAAACAAACTCATCTACATCTTGAATCAACTATTCAAGTCATGTAACATTTATTTATATAGCGTTTTATACAATACAGAATGTTTCAAATAACATTTTGTTTTTATTCAGTATTATCAGTGCAGTTAAATCAGTAATATTACTGAATATTAAAGACCCCTAGAGAGCCTTTGAATAAAAACCAAAAGTGCAGTATTGCTTACCTTATATCTTTTACACCTTCTTGTGCTTGTTGAGTGAAGGTTTGAAAGGTTTTGTCTGCAAAGTTCTGTTTTTTTAGGTCTGAAGGTCACAAATGTAATGTCTGAAATGTCTTACCAGACGATGTTCCAGTGTTCCTACTGCAGTTTGCACTCATTGGTCAGTGAGTCGCTCACATGTTAAACCCAACGACATCAATGAATGTATATCGCAGCCGTAATAAAGAGAAAAGTGCGGTCGGGTTGCTGGAAGAGAGTTGACGTGTAGTATATGGTAATTTCAGGGCACAGCCAACGGTCGATGGTTTCTTATGCATCCAAACTCAACGACAGCGTTGAATGTTCCCAGAATGCACCAGGTGTGTCTTTGCATGTCCCTAACTCAGTGTTAAATATGCTAAATCTTATCTAGATTTGCTATTTGATTAAACACATATCCGGCTGTGTTCGATTGCACTGGGAGATTGTGTAATTATATGTTTTGTTTTTTTTTTTGCATATAATTATTATTGTGGTTGTAATCATCTGCTATTGTATGATGTTCTTTAGTGGTATTCATTTGAATTAAAAATGGGAAAGCGTACAGAGTCATATATCATAAGCGCTCTGATTTTTTTGTCAGCTTGGAAGAGACTGAAAACAATATGGTTTTATTTCATTTGTAAGAAATGCAAAATAAAGTTATATACAATTTTTTGTTTTGCTTGAGAATTTTCTAATGTACACTAACCTACCAAAAAGTATATTTTTTTGTATTATTCTTCAAAAGACCCTATAAATACCTTGGTAATTGAGTGTAGTGAACCAGTGTATATAACAAAATACTGTGGTATTACCACCCTTTTCATGTGTTGTGTACCATGATATTCTATCGAGTACCCTTTAAATACTATGGTAAATTTATATGAAAACCATTCAGTAGCATGGTAAATATCAAAGTTCAATGGTTTTAGTATGTTATTTGATTCTGTACAATATTCTTTAAAATAAATAATATTATTTGAAATAACTTGGTACATGAATAAAGAAATCAGTACCATGGTATTTATTAAAATACTCTGGTATTACCATGTTTTTTAATATGTACCATGATATTCTTTGGAGTACCCTTTAAATACCACGATGCATGACAACCATTCAGTACTATTGTATGTATAAAAAGTATCCTACAAGTATCCTACAAATGTCATGGTATTACTATTTACTTTATGTACCATGGTATTTATTGAAATATATATTTATACCAATCAGTGCCATGGTATATATCAAAATACTGTGGTATTACAGTGTTTTAAAAAAAATGTGTTTATATATATATATATATATATTAGTTTGCATGCCATGAGACATGGATATAATAATCATTCAGTACCATGGTATATAATAAGGTGCCATAATTCTTGATACTCTACACAAACTGATTTCTTGTAATAAAATAATTAGATTCTAATTAGCATTGCAGTTATTTGCATATGCAATCATTTACATATGCAAAATGTATTTAGTAGAACTGGGTCAGTGTCACAATGCATTAAGCTGAACCAACTGAATCAGACAAAAGAGCGACTGAACTTACAAAGAGATGGAGAAAGCTTCAAATACATCAGAAGAGAAAGCATACGACAATCTTACCTTGACATAATTACCTTGACTTACCTCATGTTGGCACTAATCA